TAAAAACTGGAAGGGTATAAATTTGTTTTGATCATCGGTTTTCAATTTACCACAATTCTGATGAAAGAAAATGAGTATGCTCAATGCTCCGCTCCCGCTCTGGCTAGTTCGTCGGCATTTTCATTGCCCTCGATTCCCGCATGACCTGGAACCCATCTCAGCGTTACTCTGTTTCGTTCTCCTAGAGTATTTAGTCGACTCATGCAGTTTTCTACCAACTTTGAGGTGATTAAGTTGGAGTTTAAGGCCAGCAGCGCGGCCTGACTGTCTGAGTGTCTGAGTTAATGTAAATTATGTGGTTGGCATAATTTTTTCGCAGGTTAGCTTCCGCACATTCAATAATGGCGTAGACTTCTGCCTGAAAGATAGAGGCAAATTTGCCCAGGCTTTGAGATAGCCTAAGCTTCGGCTGCTCTCCATACACGCCAAAGCCTACGTTAGGGCCCATTTTTGACCCATCAGTAAACCATATAAGGCTGCCCTTCTCACAGGTGACTTGCTTGTTCAGCCAGTCCTCCCTGTGTGGTATTTCCACTTTGTAGTTCTTTTGGAAGCTACAACTTGGAACCATGATGTCAGAAGTCATGCAAAGAGTAGGTGTGCTCTTTATAGCCTCCAGTAATGTTCTCATTCTCTGGGATATGCAATGGAAGCCCCCCTGAGCGTCTATCCTGTAGGCACTTGCCTCCGCCTCCTTAGCAATGTGCATACTTAGGACGCGTGTAATAAACAAAATACACTCTAATTTCATACAAGACCTATTGAAAGATGGAAATTCTCGGGCTCAAAATGTAAAGTACAATTTCTTTTTTCGTTAACAAAGGAATAAAATAACATGCCTGGGCTGGGCGTATTGTAGAGCATCAGGTGTAAACGTGTCTAGGTGTGAATAAACGTGTCACTCAGGTATATTAAAAACGCTGTTATTATGAAGTCCGCGAGATTAATTTTCTGGGGAGCATGAATGAATGTACGAGAACCTGAAGTTGAAAACTATGCACATAAATAATTTTACTCGACGATCGTTTGGGTGATGTTTTTATTAAATGTTTTGACTTTTAACCAAGTGAATAGTACTCGTACATAGGGTACCTGATAGTAGGTAAGGGAATTTTTTTATGGAAATTAATGATGAAGAAAATAATATAATCAGTGTTCACAAGATCTAACCAGAAACAAGGGAAATCTTAGTTATTTAGAGTTATTTTTTTTTTTACATTTTAGTGAAGTCAAGTACATATTCGTACTGTTTGATCTTCGTTTATTCTATAGCTACCTTAACAAAATTTTATGATTATTATTTTCAAAAGTCTTTTGAAACGACGTTACAACAACCTATATGTGATATTGGATATTATGTTTCAACCATCATCTAAAAGAATTTTCAACTATATTGTACCAGTATTCTACTCATAAAAAAATCACAACAGCTTCAGCTATGAAATATAAAATGTAAGACGTATCAAATCTTCTTAGTTCAGCTCTGCGGACCTCAAGATCTTACAGTATGAAATATTCCATGCAAGCTTAAATAAAGTTTTCTACAGAAGCTTTAATTAGTCGTACACTTTTTAATCACAAACTGCAATACTACACGAGCGTAATGACTGGACTTGAAATTTCATTAACACATAGGTATCTAGCAAATTGTACGAATTACATCTAATTTATTATCAAGCAGTGAGAGTAGGTTTTTGTTAGGCTATTAGTATGAAAAGAGTATAATTTTTATGATTTGTATTAACACATTGATCTTAGTTCATTCATCGTCAACGTACTGATAGTTACAATAAAAAAAAAAATTTTATAAAAAAAAATAAAACCGACTCCAAAAAACCTACACTAAAACGTCGAAAAATAATTACTAATTACCTACTTATTTATTAGGACGAATTATTAATATTTATGTAGGTATACCATGATTGATACTTAAAAAAAAAAAAAAAAAACATACGGGTCGAATTGAGAACCTCCTCCTTTTTTGAAGTCGGTTGAAAATACGAAAGTAATTCACTATCACTTTGTTTATCATCGGTTTCTATTAATAAAAAAATTAGTATAAAACTAGCAAAATTCCGCAACTACCGTCATGAGTTTCAATTTCAAGATGAATCCAGATATTGTAATATTTAAGACGCTTCATCCACTCCACTACTCTTAAATACAATAGAAAATAGCAACAGTATGGTCACTTGGACATAAGGTTGTTTGTGAATCTATACTTTTATACTAGTCTATACTATCTATACTTCTATACTAATATTATAAATGCGAAAGTAACTCTGTCTGTCTGTCTGTCCGTTTTTCTGCTTGCTTACACGCCTAAACCACTGAACCGATTTTGATGAAATTTGGCATTGAGATAGTTTGAGTCCCGGGAAAGGACATAGGATAGTTTTTATTCCGGTTTTTGAAACAGGGAAGCGCGCGACAAAGTTTTTCTGTGACAGACAAAATTCCACGCGGGCGAAGCCGCGGGCGGAAAGCTAGTTATTAAATATTTTATGTCTGAAACCCAATTGAGTTAACTGCGCACCACGCTGGAATTCAACTCTCCTTCCTTCCCATTTACCCGCACACTTCCCCTCGTTTACCCCGTCCATACCACAGCGTCGATGTGACGTCACGGCTGCCAGGTGCGCAGTTAATTCAACCGGTTTGTACTTCCCGAGTTTGTTTCTGAGCAATTTCACCTGGGCCTTTTTAACCGACTTCAAAAAAGGAGGAGGTTTTCAATTCGAGTGTATGTTTTAGAAAGAAGACTCTTAATTACACCTACCATCGGCAATAACGTTAACTATCCATTGCCTGTCAGGTCGTCTCGTTCTATCGCAAAGAATCACCATTTGATGAGAGCGAGAGCAAAAACGGAAATGGATAGTTAACAGTGTGGCCGTGTGTACACCTATCTGCGTGGGATATTAAGTCTAGATAAAAAACCTAGGCCCTACTGTACTTAGCTAAGTTGTGTCTGAACTAAAATATTTAACCCTAACCAGCGAGGCGTATAGTTTGTGGTTTATGAAATTTGATATCGCTGACGAGAAAAATGGCACATTTCCATTAATGTTTCTACTCTGTTTTATGTTTTACATTGGATTCATGGTTTCATTAAGTATATAATATTTACGCCTATCAAATGGGTTTTAGCTCAAAACGATATTTGAGATAGATTAACAAATTAAATGCTAATGTGATGTAACAATGTTAATCTAAATATATAGAACTCAAAGATGACTGACTGACTGACTGACTGACTGAAATAGTGATCTATCAATCACAGCCCAAACCACTGGACGGATCGGGCTGAAATTTGACATGCAGGTAGATGTTATGACGTAGGCATCCGCTAAGAAAGGATTTTACGAAACTCCGCCCCTAAGGGGGTAAAACGGGATCCACGCGTACGAAGTCGCGGGCGGCCGCTAGTAATTAGTAAAACCTTGTTCTTAATTAGCACAAGATAAATAAATTATTATAAAATATTTTAAAATCTTTGTGAAAATGTAGTGCAATCAGCCAAATTGAATAAGCCTAGTCAATAAGTCTTGCCTTTGTGGCTGTGTAATTCATTTTACACTAAACATATACAGGGTGGAAACGATAAGTGATCTCAGTCGATTATTTCTAAATTATACAAGATATCGAAAAACTGGTTACTGATCCTGAAAGTGCTTCACGAGCTCTTTCAATAATAGGTTAAAGAATAAACTGGAACTATCAGAAAATTCAATGTTTCCATCATAAATCATATTTTTGCTCGCAAATGTAGTTCGTGACACCCACAGTAGCCAAAAAGTTCGTAACACGTCTTTTTACAATTGGAAATAGGTTGTCAAATTTTTGGTCACTTAGATGTTACGAACTATTTGACGCTGACTGTACTAAATCCTATTATGCACTACAGAGCTAGAAGTCTTTTTAGTATACAGAAGGTCCTAAAAATAAGATCACATACTCAAAATTTTTTGAGTAAGCATCTCAAACGTGTAAAAATAAAAGCGTATGGAAAAGCCGCATATTTAACGTTTTCTTAACAATACCTAGTACATTGTAAAACTTTCTATTTTATGTATCAGGTAAAACACCGACAATGAACCTTTCACCTGTCACGTCACATTCATAAATCTCGCTGAAGGTCGCCATATTGTGCCTACGAGCACGTCAAGCTTCACACTGTGGTACCTTATATGGTTGGATTAAGGGTGATATTACAACGAAAATGTATAGTCAGGTGTGTTCTCACCTGTGCCACGCGTGCCTAGTTTATAAATATAATAACGCAATAAGCTAAGCAACCCTAAAAAGATTAAACTTCTTACTTACATACATATTTTATGGTAAGAAAAAGATATTGCCGTGAAAACTGAGAATATTACGAGGTGTTGCTGTAAATTTTTTCTATAATAAATTATCATAAAAGATGTAAGCGAATAACAAATTGTTTTTCAGTATGCTAGTAATATAATATTTTAAACTATTTTAATTTGCTAGTAATATCATTATGATATCTGTAATTTTATAGATCCAATTTTTTTTAAAACGTATAACATTGATTCTAATGATTCTAAAAATCACATCAAATACGAAATAGAGAGCTAATCGTAATTATAAAGTAAACGTAAGCAAAATTAGTTTTTTTTTACATTTGGCTGCTTGAAATAATGAGCTGTAAGAATAACGTATTAAGAACACTCATTGGATTAGGTAAATCCGCTATTAATCTTATAAAAAGTGGCACGAAGAAAATCGCGGCTAAATATCACGCGACGACAAGCGTGACCTTAAGTAACTTCTAGTTAATTATTAAAATAACTTTCACTATGGAAAGGTCCGCGAAAATGTTAGAATAACACCTCAGGAGATGAAGAATTCACACCTCATATATAGTCTCATGCGAAATTATCTCGAGCGAGTTTCGCGCGGAACCGGCAGTTCTCGCGCGCTTGTGCTCGTAGTAGGACGCCTCCGTAGCACTGTGAAACGTCGTAGCGAGTCTACGAACCTTTCGTAGCGTATCACTTATTTATTAGTAGGTGTTTGTTATTAGTGTTGTGCTGAATTAAGTTTTAAGCCCCATGTAAGTATAAAATTGTTGTATTTTTTGCATTGGAAATAGTTTAAAGTTTTTGTTTGAGAAGCAAAGACCGGGCATTCGGATTATGTACGCGAGTGAAAGTAAACATTTCCGTATTCAGGTTCAGTAGTTCATGAATATTAAAATGTCAAAATTAAATTCCGAGTAATATCTATTCCTTTTTTCACGCCATTTATTTCAAGCATACTTGTAATGAATTTTGAAGGGAATTCGCCTGAGGAAAAATGTGAGAAAAGGGTCACAAACTCATTTACATTAATAAAATTCAGTTTCAGTAGTCGATATTGTTTTCTTTTTCATGATTTTGATGCGGGTAAACGGTTCATGGTAAAACATTTATTATATTTTTTATTTGATTTTGATAGTCATTGAACTTATTATGTTTTTTTTTATTTGAGCAGCCGTTTACAAAATCTACACAAATGAAAAGTACAGGGTTCATTAGAAAAACTTTTTTCTTCTTTTGTGTAGATTAATAGAGCTAATTAACATGTAACGTGTCCTAACTCTTAAGTATTTAATTAGGTATATATTTTCAGTTAATCACATTAATTCAAACCAGCAATTTGTTAAAATTTGTAATTCTATACACAATGTCAATAATGTAGAGGGTTTGACTCTTATAAATTTTCTGGGTTCAATTTCCACTCAGCACATGGTTTTTTAAGGTAATTGCGGACATGCTCTTATTTTATGGATACTAAATCTCCAAAAAGCATCGTTATTCTAGATGAACAAGCGCAAAATAGTGTTTAGTCACGACAGTGAGTATACTTACAAGTAGATAACTGTCAAATTACTGTCACACAAAAGAACCCGCCTCATTATTTTTACATATTTTAATACACTCAAAAGGGTTTCTACTCAAAAATAGGTAGTTAATATTAAAATAGGCAGCGAAAGTGGGTTATAAATAATGAAAAAGGTAGACCAACTGATAACACTACACCCAGGTTTTAGCTGTTGTTGTAGTCTGAACTCTATTGTGAAGCTTTAAGGCGTGTAATGGCGTGGCCTGAATTTTGATATTATCATGACTTAGTTAGCGCAAAGCTTAGAACATTTGTAAGTATGAGCACAAAATATAGAGATGTAGAAGGTAAGGTAGGAAGGTTAAATGAAAGTAAAAAAGATAAGTACCTACACGGTAATGAGAGTAATATTACTTCAATGGCTAAAGAATTAATTTGCGGACTAGACCAAATCAAGTAAATTACTGTGACACCTTTATGTAGCCCTATTCCACATAGGTAAAAGTTGCATTTGAATGGTAGAATCAATCTTTTTTGTTTCATCTATACTTAAAGGGACCTTTGGATTGATAGGGATAGAGTCTTATGAATATTAGTCAGTAACCATCAGGAATTTCTTAAATTGTAATTCTTAATTTGTGTCGTTTTTCTCTACCCTTAAAATGTTGTTGATTTACAAAAAATATCAAGTTTTAAGCTTTAATGCCGTATAAGTAATTGGTACATAAGGCGAACTTAATGCCATCTGGGCGGGCATTCTCGGCCAGTTAAACTTTGGGCTAGACAGAAAAAATCGTTCAATACTCATTCTGTAACATTTGCTGTCACTACTCTCGTATACAGGTATATTTCGTTTAATTTTGCATCTCTGCTACCATGGTACACGGTAGTTTTGGCTTACCAGCGTACGTAATAGCCGTGTCGTATAATATATCTGGATGCAAATCTTGAATAATGGCCTTAGTGCAAAATTTATTTGTAGCAAGGTAACTTAGATACAGTTTTAGAGCCCTTTTTCACGGTAATCCAATTTGCAGGATCCAGTATTGCTGGATTTGTGTGATCACACTACAGTGTCCTGTTTTTTGTAGGCAGTATAATGAACGGTTGTTTGCGGTACTGTTGTTTGCACAAAATGTATGCAAGAAGCTGCTAGTGGGAAACTTCTATTAAACAATACTTGTATTTAAACTGGATCATATTTTTTACTGGTCCAGTAATGACGAAACCGAATTCCATATTCCAACGGAACGGTGTTTTACGGGACACTGCAAATGTGAATGTTTATATTAAAACACGTATACCTACTACTAAACGGGATCTCTTAAAAAACACAACCCGCAGAAAACGGGATGTTTTCAGTGGAAAAGAACCCTTAGGCTGAGTTGCACCACCTAACTTTAACAGCCACGATAACCAGTGATTTTTGTATGGAATTTGACAGACTTTTAGGGTCATTCCACCGGCCAAGAAAATCACGTGTCCGAGGCCAAAAAGTACCCGAATATCATAATATTTTAGTAACAAATATTTTTATCTAATAGTATAACTTTGGTTCTTGTTGTTAAACCACAGAGATAGTTAATAATAGTTAATTAAGTAATTTAAAAAAAATCGTAAGTCGTCAAAAATTGATTACCACGACGTGTCCGCGCTCCCGATTTCAGAACAAATTTGCTCGTATAAATTAATCCGTTATTATTACCGCTTTCAATGCTTATGTAATCGATTACTGATTAAATAAACATTGATAAATTAAATACGATATAACTATATGACTGAAAGGTTTTGTAAAATAACTATTTAAAGTTGTGTCCGGGCGTTAACCGTGATTACCCCGACACGCCACTAATGTGCGCCTACGTCCCTAGCTACGCAATTTAGAAACGAGCTCTATCCTCCCCCGTGAACGTTTAGTGGTGGCCTGCGTGCCGAGGTGATCGGTAATGCAACTCGTCGCAGGATTTCGGAGTTATCGAGATAAGAATATGATTACCCCGACCTTGGTTCAGTGTGGGCGTGAAACGTGGAAGGTCACTAAGGTTATCTCGCACCAGCTGCAGATCTTCTTCAGCCGCTGTCTTCGCCGAATTCTCCAAAATCTTCAAACGACGAACTTTTGGAACGCTGCCACGAATTACCGATCTTTCAGCAGAATAAACGCTGCAAGTGGAACTGGATCGGTCACACTCTCCGAAGGGACCCCGATCACATCCCCAAGCAGGCTCTAGATTGGAACCCCCAGGGAAAATGCAAACGTGGTCGCGCCAAAAAAACATAGCGGCGCACTGTTAAGACTTGAAGCGAGATCAAACACGAAGCTCAAGACCGAATGCGATGGAGGACTGTTGTGGACGCCTTCTGTCCCATATAGGAGACATAAGACATTGAGTCACTAATATTATATGTATAATGTATATGTATGTTTTTTACTCTTTTACGCAACAACTACTTAACAGATTTTGTTGAAACTTTACAATATTGTCGTTTATACATCAAAATAACAAATGGCAAGTTATAATAACATTTATTTTACCATAACTTAAAAAAAAACCTTAGAAAATAAAATATTTTGTTTTATTTTTGATTACTCTGACCCCCAACTTTGATTACCCCGACCATGAAAATTTTGATGTCGCATAACTTTTTATTCCTGCTTGCTACAGATAGGCCAATACAAAAAATATGCTCGTAATAATGTCTATTTTGAAATGTTTTACCTAAACTTACTCTAAATTAAAAAATAAAAAAGGTCGGGGTAATCAACAAAATAATCCAGATCCGGAGAATGACCGTTTAACGTTTGTCAAAGTTAAAATAAGATGGTGCAACCTAGCCTAAAATACTAAACGGCATCCTGCAAAAACACAACCTGCAAAAAACGGGATGCCTCCTTGCAACAGAGCCCTTAGATTTCCACATACCGACAGAAATGGAATGCAGCTGGATGGACGATATATTACAAGTCTTTCCGAATTCATGGAAACTGAATACGTAGGGCGGTAATTCATTCAGTGATGCAGAATTTACATCGTTTCTAGAACTCGTAGACGGACGAACATGCATTTAGATTCAAAATCAGCTCTAAAATTATTTAAAGTTAGTAGAAATTATTTTACTAAATAAAACGTGCTCCTTTTGACTTCCTAGGGTATATTTTATTAGGGTTAGGGAATAAAAAATGTCTGAACAAAAGTGACAGATACACTTGGACCTCCTTACAAATTCAGTATTTTTATCATATCTCCTTATCTGAAGACTGAAATATCGTTGCGAAAGACTCAAATTGCCACAAAGATTATGCAAACCAGCCAATATAGTGTCTAGTAAAAATACCTTTCTACCCTTATCAAAGCCCGAGTGAGTAAAGGTCCGATCACTTCTAATTCCGTTCGGATATTTTAGGTTTAGTTCCAATAAAACTCCGTCTATTTCACTTTGTTTGAATGTGAGTGCTAACTATAGTGGAATCGCTTTGACGAGTGCTATCGGTTTTAGAGCCGATCGCGATTTTTTATGCGAACCCTTTGTTATAGATAGCTTTTTATTTAGTATACCTACTCTTATACATATACCGTGGCTATACAAATAAAGGAAGGTCTTAAAATATGTATTTTACAGGCGTTGCTATTGATTCAACAGTTCTAATGACGCATAAAAATATCGTGATTCGACCCACGATATGTAGGTCGTCGCTAGTTTTTAAAACTGCTATTATAATTTTCTAGAAGTAACGAACATCTAATCGTTTTATTTCAGTTATAATTACCTTACTAGAAGAATTTCCAAACATAGCTTGCAGCATCGAATAATACTTCTGCGGTGATAGCCAAAACTTCTTCGCTCTTTTTCCTATTTTCACTCCAATTGTTAACCAACTGTAAAATATTGAATATCTTAATATCCTCATTTCTGATTCGATTTCACCAAGAAACACCTATAATAAAATTTTGTATTCTTCGAGTTGTTAATATCTTTATAATCGTTGTAACACAATATTTTTCCTAAAAGTCACGCATGATGTCTCATTACGCTTGCAAAAACGTATCGTGATACACGTGCGCTTTGTTACCATCGATATAAAAGCATATAATATTACGAAGAAATACAGCCAAAGCAATTTGTAAAATGTAACAGCAATTTAAGAATTTGATGCTCATTAATTAAGTTTTTTTGTTACGATTTACAAAAAAAAAGTGACTTGCAAGTGGGTGCAAAGTCCATCACAAA